TGACATGAAACCCTCTTTTATTCCTTTACCTCCACCAGCTCCTCTGGCTCAGAGATGCCTTAGGGTGCTCTATAGGAGAGACTGTCAGGTTTTTGGAGGTGAAAGTTAAATATCAGCAATTCCACCTGGTTTGACTTAGTTAAGGAAGGCACTGGAGCCTCCCAGGAAGCTCACTCACAGGAAGGTAGCTGCTCTGAAGCGAAATCTTTCCCATGGCTCCCAAGGGACCTTCCCTTGTGTTTCATTGGCTAAGCGTGGGTCACATGATCACCCCACTGACCAATCACTGCCAAAGGGAACAGGCTTTACTGACTTCATCCCCACCAAAGCCAGGATGAGGGGGAGACTGGGTGCTGGGAGGTGGCATGGATGGGAGAGAGGGCAGAGGCCACCATGATGTTCCCACCGTGTTCTGAGGACAGCCAGGCAAGACCCGAGTCCCGACGTCATGGAATGATCCTTAACTGACCGTTGGGCCTTGTGTGAATTTCTGAAGCAAAGGGCTGGCAAGAAGAGACATTTCTTTAAGGAAAAGAAACCTGGGGCTGCGATGGGGAGTTGCACTCCCATGGTGGCGCACGCAGAGCGCCGTTGCCAGCAAGAAATGAAAAGACAAAGCAGGGCCCACTCCTCTGCCCACTGACCTCCTTTAGGGACCACGGGTGGCATCCGAGCCAGATGCCAAGGACAGCGCTCCACCGGCAGCCTGCAGGCGTGGACAGTCCCCATCAGGATGACCGCATCAGGGCTCTCGCACTTTAGGGCCATTGCTAACACGGGGGTCACTGGAACATAGGCACTGGGGTACCACGACCGCCACTCAGCAAGCACCGGGCAGGCGGCACGCACAGCTCAGACGCCGGGACTGGGACGGTTACATCTCGGCTCGAGACTCCATCTCACAGCTCAGCACGGTGCACAGCTGACAACGTAGGAATTCTTTCCTTCTGGAATTTTCCACTGATCATTTTTAGGCCACAATTGACTGTGGGTAATAAACCCATGGGAAGCAAAGTGGGGAGAAGAGGGGTGGCCATGTTTATTCCTCCCGCACCCTGAAAATCCTCCAAGTTCGAGCCAGTTCAGGAGGCCTGGGGCAGCCTGAGCGCTCAGCCGGCGACTCAAGCCCAGAAGCAACCACCAGCTCCGGCTTGGTTCCAGGGGTCGGAGAGCGAGCACGGTGCCCCAGCCCTAGGCGGCTCACCCAGGGCTCCGGTCAGTGACAGTGGGTGTCAGCACCACCAAGACTCACGGCACCGGTGGCTTTCGGGGATGCTGCACCAGGCCCCCTGCTCTCAGGCAGTGGGCGGGAAGGTCGGACCGGTGGGCAGTGGCTCCCCACCGGCGGCAGTCACTGCTCTGCCATGTTCCCTTCCACGGCACTCGGCCCTCCACTTCTGTGCACGCCTCCCTGGCTCCCAACATCCCCAGAGCTGATTCTGCTCTCCTGATATTTCTGTTTCATTGAGGAATGGGGATGCCTGCAACAAAAATGTGAATCAAGGCACATTAGAGCTGTGGCGCTGTCTCCTCTTGGGCTGCACAGGGCTGGGCCCTTCATTTGGGAGAAAGACTGCTTTCCGTGCAAACTCAGTCATGTGTCCCAGCCTTGTCCCTGGGAAGGGGCTAGCAGCAGAAGGTGGGAGAAGCTGGCATTTAACCGACGGGCAGGGGAGCGGTTCCTCTCACGTTGCTGTCATGAGTGCCCTTTCTCCCTCCCTGCTTCCAATGACCGAATCCAAAACAATGTCCTGGAACAGTGGTCAGTCAACCCCTGAACAGTGTCCAGGGATGACTGTGACACCTGAGGGACAGAGGCATTTCCTTGAGGCTTGTCACAGCTGGGAAGGTACTCCTGGTCTCCAGCAGCCTCCCGAGTCCCAGGGCCTGGTTCACAGACCCTGCCTGGAGCCTTTAGCTAATTCCCAGAGGTCCATGTTTCCAGGCAGCCAGGTCCTGTGTCTACTATGGCTTGGAAAATAAACAGCCTCACCAGGAGGCCTGTGAAAGGTAACACCTGCATGCCTCTGAGTGGTTGTCACTGGCAACAGGAGGCCAGGGAAGCTGTAGTGGTTCAGTTTCATTGTGTCAACTTGATGGGGGTGAGAGCCCCCCGGGGGATTGGTGGTGCACACTCCCGGGTATCTGGGGGTGTGATCCTGGGTCTGTATCTGACCCCTCACCCCTTCCTCTCTGGCACTGTTCCACTGCTCTGCTTCCTGGCTGCCATGAACCCTGTTACTGCATCAGGGTCAGTAGACCATGAACTGAACCCTGTGAAACTGTGAACCCAATGAAGCCCTCCTCCTATAAGTTCTGGGTGTCAGGTATTGTGTCCCAGTGCTGAGAAAGTAACTAATTCAGGGGGCTCCCTGACTTGTCCCACGTTTCTGGAAGAGGAGCTTGTCTTGTGACCGTGTGACAGTCAGCTTTCCATGGTTGTGACAAATAGTTGAGATCAATCAAAAAAGTGTACTTTGGCTCATGGCTTCTGGGCCGAACTTCAGGGCACAGCTGCTTGGCCCTACTCCCTAACGGCAGAAGTGTGCACATCAGGAAGCACAAGGCGGGACAGGAAGTGACCTAACTTCCTCCCCATAAGGCCTTGCCTGGGAGGTTCCACTCCCTCCCAAGGGTGTCACAGGCGAGCCTGTGGGCGCTGTCACAACCCAAACTGTAGCAGATGGGAATAGCCCTCCCTGCTTAGAGAAGCAAAAACCCCTGCCAATCTGGTCTGGCCAGGAATGAAGCCCAGAGAGCAATGAAAGCCCAGCTGCTCCCGAACCACCTCCCTCCATCGCTAGCTGGGGGACGTCTGCATCTTCCGGAAGAGCCCAGTCCAGCAAGAAGGCACCACTACTTCATCACATGACCCTAGAGCCGCTGTGGAAGAGGTCTGTCCGGGAGGCCCTGGGTCCTGGCAGGGGGAGAAAGACTTCGTTCCACCTAAGCCACAAATCCAGTACTCACTCGTTAACCTCGGTGGTTAAAACAATAGGAGTTGGAAGCAGAAGAAAATTCAGAAGCAAAGGGGTTTTTCTCTTACACTGAAGGGGCTGAGCTGACTCCCTGTTGCATCACAGAGCCAGGAAAGTCCCTGTTCTCAATTCGGGCGTTCTTCCTGTTGGCAGGAGGCGAGGACAAGTTGCTCTCCATGGTGAAGGTCGACACTCAGGGCTCCCCACGGCCCAGCCGCTGAGATGCAGGAGTGTCATCTAGCCCAGCACTGGGCTGAATCGTGACTCTCGATACTTGGGTCCCCGGGAACCTGTGAAAGGGACTTACTCATTTCTTATTTTGGAGGGTGTTTGTCTGTTGGTTTGAGACGATATCTTGCTATGTAGTCCAGTCTGGCCTCCAACGACTGATCCTCCTGCCTCAACCTCCTGAGTCCTGGGATTACAGGGGTGGGCCACCGCGCTCTGTTATTGTGACTTACATGGAACCGTCTTTGCAGATGTGATCAAGTTACACCAAAGTCAGAACGGACTGGGGTGGGCTCTGAGTCCACCGTGACTGGTGTCCTTCCCAGGAGAGGAAATCGGACGTAGAGATGCACACAGAGGGAAGACAGCCCTGTGACGACGGGACAGAGTGAGATGATGCTGCCGTGGCCAAGGATGCTGGCAACCACCAGAAGCCAGCAGAGGCAGGAAGAGATGCTCCCTGAGCACCAGTGTGCACACCAGGGACTTCTAGACACCAGAAGTGTAAAGGAGTCGGTGATGTTGCTGTAAGGCACCCGTCCTATGGGGCTTTGTCACGGCAGCTGCAGGACCCTCTGGAAATGCCAGGACCTTGAGCCCTGAGGGTGTGACCCAGAGACTTGGCACGGGCCTGGCAGGGACGGCAAGCTCCCTGGAGGCAACCTCTCAGAGGCCCGTGTCTGGCTGTCCGGCGGTGGCCATCCCTCTGGCAGCATCCACATCAGCGCCTGCTGGGCCTCGCTGGTCCCCTGGCTGCTCTCCGCCTCGGTAGATGCACAGGCTTCTTCTCCAGCCCCGCACAGACCCTGCACACTGCCCAGCTCCCTCTGGGCATTTCCTGCCCTGCTCTCTGCTTGCTCATTTCTGTTGCTTGCAACTCAAATCCCTGACTGGCACCAAACGCCATCCCAATAATTCACGATGCTCTGTCTGCGAGTATAAAAGGTCCAGAGCATTGCTTCTACTTCTGGGTTGAAGTTAAGGGTTGAACACCTGAACACATCCCTGCAGATTTACTCAAAAGAAGTCAGCTTGTCTTACTTCTCAAATCAAGGCTGGCATTTCTACAACATGGAGTTTACAGTGTGTCATTTAAGTTCTAAGAAAAATGGTTGCATGTATAAAAATCTGAAAAAAACAAAAATGCTAAGAAACTCTAAGGAGGAGGGATCTGAAGATTTCTGTGCATGTAACCTTTTCACACACACACACACACACACACACACACACACACACACACACAACCGGAATTCGCCAGCAGAAATCCTGGCTGAACCAGCTGCCACTTTCCAAATCCCATCTGTTGCTTCCTCAAGATTTCAATCAGCAACTCTTGTATTTGAGTAGAATAAGGCTAAATTTACCAAGAAAGATAGCAGTAATAATAAGGTCTTAACATGGTAAGAGTGATTATAATGATGTATGCTATATCTAGTTGGGGGAAAACACTCAAAGCAAGTATCTTTTACTTTGTGAAAGTAATCACAACTAAAGCTAGAAAATCCTAACTTGTCCCCAGCTGAAGGGACAACGCTGTGAAATAACATGAACTCGTGGTTCCCATCGCTCTTCCACCCAGCAGAAGCAAACAGAATCTGCTTGGCTTCATTCATGTTCCTCTCGAGTTCTTTCAGAGTCCCAGGGCTCCAGTCCAGGGCTGTCCTGCAGGTGGAAGTGTTTTCTGGACGCGAGTCGGGGTCCCTCTGCCCTGCCGTCAATTTCCCGGTGGCCCCTTCAGCACAAGTGAGTCAGCAGGTGACAGAAGCTGATGGTCTTGGGTCACCCGGGGGGCTCCAGGGTCAGGCTTCCCAGCTTCCTCCCAGGTGGACACTACCCGCAGCACTGTCGAGGACAGGCCCTGTTTCCTGTTTCTGTGGGTTGCTCTGAGGGACAGACAGGTTTCCAAGCTTCCTGTCTGAAGTAGGGAGGCCCTAACAGGGTCTTTGGATTCACAGACCGAGTCACCACTGCCACCCCCTGTTCAATAAGAAAATGCTTCAGGATGCACGACAGTTTCACGGCAGGTTGGGGAGACCTCCTTTCTAATTCACAAAGCAGAGTCGACTGGCGGGGCCTTCATTGTACATAAGCAAACCTGGGCAAAGATGATGCCACCCAGGAACACGGATGCCACCGAGTGTGCCCAGCCGCGGGCGTCACTCGGCACAGCCCATGAGCAGCACTGTGATTGCCCCCAGTGCGTGACGATGGAAACTAAAGCCATACAGCCAGCCCGAGATGGCACTGGATTCAAATCTGCCCCTTACTGAGGAAGAAGATGGGCAAAAAGGAACAGACACGTTTGGAAATGGGGCGGTGAGTGTTCAGGTAAACCAGCACAGTGTATGTGAGTCTGCAGACTGACTGGGGACCCCGCCACTTCATCCTATGGAGTGAAAAGCACTTTGTTTTTGCACTGTATTTTAAATTATCAATACCACTTCTTTCAGTAAAGGTATACACGCACTTCGTAGTTTAAAATGTGTCCAACTGTAAATATTGAAATTTGCACGCGTGCATGTGTGTGTGTGTGTGTGTGTTGCTGGTGAGCGAACCGCGAACCAAAAGGTATACACGCACTTCGTAGTTTAAAATGTGTCCAACTGTAAATATTGAAATTTGCACGCGTGCATGTGTGTGTGTGTGTGTGTGTTGCTGGTGAGCGAACCCAGGGCCTTTGCCCTCATATACACCTCCAGCCATTTTAAAAACTATTTTTTAAATCATTAAATCGCCCAAGCTGGGTTTCAATTCTCCTCCCTCAGCCTCCCCGTGTACTGAGATTTCAGGTGTGTCCCACCCCACACATCCTCCCACCACCTAAAATTTGTCTTTATTAAAGATCTGACTGATCCTGTGCAAGACAAAGACTTCCTCCTTAGCCAAACTTGAGGTGGGCCTGACTCCCACCCACCTCATTCAGGTGTAGCAAGTATCCCCAGCCTGGTATGAGACCCCTTCTGCCACATCTCTTCTTAGCAATTTTCCATCTACGGCTCCTCAGCCGGATCCTTGGCTAGAAATCCCCAGCTATATTCTTGCTGCACCCAGAGCTGACCCATTATTTCTCTCCCTGTTGAGACCATCATGGACCCCATCACAAGAGTGCTGAACAAAGCCTTCCTTAACCTCTTCAACAAGTATCACAATAATTTTTTCTTTACCAGGCAAAACAACTCGCCAGTGACACAATCTGAAAACACCAGGGTGAATGACAGAATATTCAAACAGTGCAAAGGTATCTGACTTCAAAGCTAAACTTCAAAAATCAGGGTGCGCTAAGAACATTCTAGAACATGCTTTCTTTCTTGCCTCTCCCCAGGTAGCCTGGTCCACTCCTTATTGGGTCAATTCTCAGTCACTGCCTCAATGCCCCCTCCCAGTGACAAATGGCACTGCCCAGCCAGCTCCCTGTCCTCTCTTTGCTTTCTACAGTCACCCCAATCACCTTCCCACTGGGAAGGGCCCTGTGGCACTGGATACAATGAGTAGCCCCAAATTTCCCTGACTCGTTTCAGTGTCCCTTCCCTGACATACTGTATTCCAGAACCTTCTGGCCCCTCCACCTTGCTGTTCACATCATGGCTTCCTGGAAGGTCCCACCCCAACTTATACCCACCTGAACTTTTCCACATTCACCTATTCTTCTGACTTCAAGTTGCACACAGTCGCTGTTCCCCCCGCTGACTCAGAATGGTCCCAAGAGCAGGAAATAACTGGTCTCTTTGCCACCATGGTGCCCAGCAGAAAGCCTCGTGTGTGGTGGGTGTTCAATAAACACTTAGCGAGCAAATGAGCACGTATTCCCCATTGAATTCGACAGAATGAGAGAGGCTGATTTTTCTGGAACATTTTCCTTTTCACTGCCAATGGGAAAATTTTCAGTCATACAAAGCAATTAAGTGCCCCCTTGTGGCCGCAGGCTGACAGTGCCGTACACCCACGAAAATGGCCGACCCTGTGTTTCAGGATGGAGCCCTGTCTGGGAGCCTGAGTTTCCACACAGGGCCACACGAAGCCATCCGATTCAAGTGCCTGAGGTCCACGCAGGTGGCTCTGGAGCTGTCACTCTGAACCGAGCCCTTTCAAGGATGCTGGTGACAGAGCTGTAAGTACCTCCAGGAATGTGACCAGCTTTCTTCTATTTCAGAGGGAGAAGGTGCTAGAAGCAGCCACCACAAGTGGAGGACCTGACTGGATGGTGAGAGTCCACAGAAACCCTGAGCACGAATGTTCACAGCAGCTGGACTCCTACTGGCCAGAAGGAAGACGTTTCCTGGGGTCACTTGGCAGGTGGCTGGAGGAATCAGTGGCACTGAGGCTGTGTAAAGGGACCCGGCATGGCCACTAAAGAGGGCACGTACACAGCTCGAGAGGGCATTGTCAGAGACGCCACAGCATGGGTCAGAGCCTGGCAGACGACTCACTGTGTGTGAAGTTCCAGAAGGGGCAGTGACAGGGAAATTTGGAATGGGGTTACTGACTAGGAAGGAGTACGGGGACATTTGCGGGTGGCAGTGATGTGCTGCGTCATGACGGGGGTCGGGCAACGCGGGGAGGTGCATTTGTCTTCACTCATCAATTACTATATTTAGAATGTATTTCATTACAGGTCAATTTCACGTCAAAAGAAGTGTCACACATGACACCCATGCTGACGCTTGGAGGGGGACAGATACCTGAACCTCACCTTGAAATACAAAGAAACACGAACATGCATTTGTGGCACCCAGGAGGGAGAGGGCAGGGGGACAAGGGGGACGAGGCACCCTTGGCAAAATGCTTGCTGCAGAACAGGGCACCTTCAGACATACAAACGTTCTCAGTGAAACATGTCCAACTATCTGATGTCCGGAATATCCCTGTGATAAAATCGTGCACGGAAAGGCTGGCGGAGTGGCTAGAGGTGTTTGAATACCGTCTGACTATTAGGAGACTGAGCGAAACATGATAATATTTTATGTGGGAGAGACATGGCGTGGTGGTTAAAAGGAAAACACCCTCAATTTTAGATCCACCTACTAAAGCACTTAGAGGAGTCATGAAATGGCTGAATTATATTTCAGCATACTCCAGGGGAAGCCAGGAGTGAGAGTGTGGGCCTGTAATGCCAGCACTCTGGGAGGCAGAGGCAAAAGGGTCACAAGTTCAAGCGTAGCCTGAACTGAGCAACTTGGCAAGACCTTGTCTCAAAAAATAAAAATAAAATAAAATAAAGGGCCAGGCGTGGTGGCGCACGCCTGTAATCCCAGCACTCGGGAGGCTGAGGCAGGAGGATTGCTATGAGTTCGAGACCAGCCTGAGCTACATAGTGAGTTCCAGGTTAGTCTCACTACATAGTGAGACCCTGTCTCAAAAAGCCAAAAAAAAAAAAAAAAAAAAAAAAAAAAAAAAAGGATGTAGCTCAGTGCAAAGGTCCTGGGTTCCATGCTCAGTACCAAAAAAGAAAAGAAAAAAAAACTCCAGTGTAGAGACAGGAAGCTAACGTTGCAAAGTACATTACACAGTAGGCACAGGAGTGATAGTTCTACTGTGTTCTGAATTTGAAATTTTTATCATAGAAAGAGGCCATGCTCTCTCGGGAGTGGGGGGGAACTGGGACCTGTCCTGACACCTTAGCAACGTGCTGAGCTGGCCACGAGCACCACATCGGAAGGGAGAACACAGATGAGGACACAGAAGATGGACAGGGACAGGAGGGGACAAGGAAGAGCTTGGGAGGAGGGAGGCCCCAGTGGGGAGGACTCTGTGGGACAGAGACTCCCGACAGGACCTGTGCCGACTACCACCTCCTGTCCTGCTGCTGGTATCACTAGGCCACACCTTTAGAGTCCAAGTCCGGCTCACCTGCCTCCTCTCCTCCCAGCGCTGTGCCGAAGCGCAGCCCCCATGTCTCTCCGGGGCCCAGGGTGAGCCCTGTCCACCCACCATGGGTGCTCTTCCTCCTGCATGGGCACTCAGCACCAGCCTCTGACCAGGCCAAAGGCGGCTCTGGGCCCGGGCTTCATTCATGCCATGGCCTGGAAATGCCAACACCTGCACTTGTCGTGACAGACACTGCGCCTGCTGCTGCCTGTGGCCCCATGGCTCCCCGGCCACATGGCTCAGGCACCAGACTCCAGCGGCACCCAGGCCTGCCGCTCCTCACAGGCACCGTGCTGCAGTTCCGTACAGCACCTCTCAGAATGTGGCATACGGAGAGCAGCCACAGCAGCCCCTGGGAACCTTTAGAAACACAAACCCCAGACCCCACACCAAGCCCAGTGAGTTAGAACCTCAGGCTGGGGCCCAGGAGCTGTCTTCATGAGCGTGCGAGGCTTCTGATACACACTTTAGAGGCCGCTGTCATTTCCTCTACTGAGATTAAGCCCTCTTACCACTTGTCAGGTGAACTCCTATGCAGCCCTTAAATCCCTTTTACAGGAGCCCCTTCTGCCTCCCATGTCCCTGAATGAGGCTATTGTGGCTCACCTCTGGACTAATTCCGTACTGCAGACACACTGCTTGGTTGTTCTTATTTGGAAGTTTTTCTCTCCCACCAGGCTAAACATACGTAGCAAGAAGCATTGTTATTATTCTCTGTATTTCAGCCCACGGCAAGGTGGCTCTCACATTCCCTTGGAATGGTGATGATGACCACTGCGATGGTGAGCAGTGGAGACACAGAGCGAGGCTCCCCACCTTTTGGGGTGAGGGACGGGGTGGGAGGAGGG